ACGGACTAGAAGGCAGGAGGGGACAGGAAAGCTGGTGATAGGGAACCCAAGGTTGAGAAGGGACAGTGCTGACATATCGTGGGGTTGTTAACCATTGTCATAGGGCAGTATGTGTACTAACTGTTTAATGAGAAACTATTTGTTCTGTAAACCTTCATCTAAAGTACAATAAAAACAAAAACAAAACAAAACATTAGGAGGTCAAATAAAAACTGGTAATTTCTTAATTCCAGTTTATGAAGGAATAGTTAACATAACTTTTTCCCCTTTCTATGTAAAACATTCTGTTTAGTTTAATAGATAATTATAAAGCAAACACCCACGTAAGCACAACCCAGACAGCATAGTTTTTTTCACCTGCTGGAATTTGCGTATTTCTTACACAAGATTTCTCTTCAGTCTTTGCTGTTTTGTGGCTTTGCACTTCCCTTTACATGATGAATGAAGAGCTGCTTTGAGAAAAATAACTTAAAGGCAGTTTAACGAAGTGGTTAAGTTCACTGATTCTGGAGAAACGCTGCTTGAGTTTGAATCCCAGCTCCACCACATACTAGCTGTGTGACCTCAAGTAAGTTACATAGCCTCTTTATGCCTCATCTGAAAATGGGATAGTAATAACACTTACCTTATAGCTACGGCTGCTAACCAAAAGGTTGGCAGTTTGAATCCACCAGCTGCTCCTTGAAAACCCTATGGAGCAGTTCTACTTTGTCCTATAGGGTCCCTATGAGTCAGAATTGACTAGATGGCAACGGGTTGGTTTGGTTTTTTTTTGTTTTATAGGGTATTAAGTGAACTGATATATGGAAACTTCTTAGAACATGGCCTGACACATAGAAGTGCTCTTTAGTGATGATCATTACTGCAAAGACGTAGACTTGAAAACTATTATTTTATATGGGGGTTTTTATACAGAAATGTATTTGTTATTAATATAAATTTAGATAAATCTGCTTGTGTCACTTAGAGACACTAGAATGTAAGTAAATTGAATCATAGAATGGAAAGTACTGACAAGAGTAAAAACAATTAAATATTGGCTATATTTTTCTAAATGTTAAAAGTACTGCTAAAAATGTTTTTAAAAAATTATTCTTCAGGACAAGAATTATTCCTCAATAAACTAAGATTCTCTATGTGTGAGGATGATTAAATATATTGAATTATTTTACCTTCCTAGTGTATGATCTCATGGAACAACAGAATCATACAGTTAGTAGAGATTGGAGCAGTAGCTTTCAAAACATTTTAACTGTAGTCTACAGTAACAAATGCATTCCTCGTTGTTTTTGGCATGCGCAAGCCCACACTCAATGGAAATAAAATTTCCATGACGTATGCACATGACTTATTAAATGCAGTATGCTTCAACATTACCTCTTCTAGTCTGTCATATTCTGTTTATTTTTTTAATGGTTTGGCTGTGACTGTGACGCTCTAAACTGATTTCTCAAACCACACACATGGGTCACAACTTTGCAATTTGAAAAAGAGTGAAACACAGGATTACAGAATGTCACAGGTCAGATTCCCTGGAAGCAGAGACTGAGATTCTGACACAAGTGTTTTATCAAGAGAGGTTTTCAGGTGAAACTTTTAAATGGCTGAAGAAAGCAGTATAGAAAAGAGGGAAAAGCTTAATGAGGATGTGGCTCCAGGTGGCCTCTAGCCTCAGCTTGATCCTGCAGGGACTGCTGAGCATGAATTGCCCCCAGGGCCACCCTTTGGAGAAGGTGGCCGGGGGAAGCAGTCAGCAGCAGCAACAGCTGAAACTGGTAAAAAGTGATCCCTGGTAGGGACCAACATTATATGCTACCCAGGATATTCTGTTCTCAATTGCTCTGCCCAGAGATTTTTGAATCCAGATCTTTTTAGGAATCTGACAGTACTACTTGTGTATTAATGTAGTGTGTGTGCTGAGGAAAGAAATTCATTCACTGGCAAATGGCCTTCTGTTTTATGTTATGCAAAAGGAGTTATTGATTGAATATGGTAGACATGGTATAGATGCGATTTAAGACGGTAATATGTTTTTATGTGAAGATTAATATATAATCCAAAACCTGCTACCATCAAGTCGATTCTGACTCATAGCAACCCTATAGGACAGAGTAGAACTGGCCCATAGGGTTTCCTAGGCTGCAATCTTTAGGGAAGCTGACTGCCATATCTTTCTCCCACAGAGCAGGCGGTGGATTCTAACTGCTGATCTTTTGGTTAGCAGCTAAGTGTTTAACCATTGCGCCACCAGGGCTCCTGATTAATATATACCCATCGCCATCGAGTCGATCCTGACTCATAGGGACCCTATAGGACAGAGTAGACTTCCCCATAGGGTTTCCAAGGAGCAGCTGGTGGATTTGAACTGCCGATCTTTTGGTTAGCAGCCGTAGCACACCGTAGCTATTAACCACTGTGCCACCAGGGCTCCATAGAAATATTCAATTCACAAGGTAAATCAGCAGCTTATTATGTCAAAAACTAATAAGGAGCCATAATTTACAGAGCTCTTGCTTTGTATAAGAAACCTATACTAATAACTTTATGTACATACATGTTAAAGTAGGTATTATTATTCCCATTTTACAGGTAGCAAAACTGAGGTCTACAATGGTTAGGAAACTTTCCCAAGATTACTCAGCTGATAAGTTTCAAAGTCAGGTTTTGAACTCAAGTTGCTTTACCTGAACGTCTTCTCTCTTAAAAACTACATTGGCCAGATTTCTTTAAGGTTGCCTCTATCTGTTATACCACTGTAGGTACAAGCAGAATTAGCTATCCCTGGATTATTCTGTGTTTTGAATTGGCTTTCTTTATAGAGTTCTTGCTTTCTGAAGACCATGTGCTATGTTAAATGAAGTCAGCCTGAATATGATCACAAGGGAAATATGAACGCCACCCCCTATAGCCTGTTTTGAAGTTCAGATACAATTAATAAGTAAATTAACAGAAAAATCAAAGTACGCACATGGGACCCCCAGATCTGCTCTTGGGTCTCACTGTTACCTTTACTGGACTGAAGGTGTTCTCAGTTCCTAAAGTCTGGTTTTCCAGTTCAGACACCCAGCCAAATTGCTTTCTCATCTCCTCCATCAGATATGTGGTATCTTCCAAGTGATCCTGGGTCATCTGGAGAATCTGGGCATATTGCTGATTGGATGTGTTGACCAACTTGAAGGCCTCATCCAGTTCTGTGTGCAGTTCAGGTACACCAGGACAGTCTAAGCAGAAACATGGCAAAGGAAAAAGTCCATGAAATGTGCAAGTGGGCGACAGTGGGTTTAAATCCCAACTTTTACACTTTCTAGCCTTTTGACTTTAGTGCAAACAGTTAAACACCTGACTACCAGCCAAAAAGGGTGGTAGGTTGAATCCAACCAGAGGTGTCTCAGAAGACAAGCCTGGCGATCTGCTTCTGAAAGGTCACGGCACTGAAAACTCTCTGGAGCAGTTCTACTCAGCACACCTGGGGTCGCTATGAGTCAGAATCGACTGGATGACAACTAACAACAGCCTTTTGACTTAGTGCATTTTCAGCTCCGTAAAGTGGGAGTGGGGGCCCTGGTAACCCAGTGGTTGAGAGCGAGGCTGCCAACCAAAAGGTGGGCAGTTGGAATCCATCAGCCACTCCTTGGAAACTCTATAGGGCAGTTCTACTCTGTTGTATCCGGTCGCTATGAGTCAGAATGGACTCCGCCTCAGTGGGTTTGAATTTTTTGGAAAGTGACAGTGAATGAAATAACAGTGTAAAGTGCCTTATCCCAGGGTACAAACTGCACCATGGATACGTGGTGGAGCTCAGTTAATGGTACTTTCCTTTCCCCTTCCTTTTCCTCCTTTCTTCATTGTCTCTGAAGGTCATCCACCTTCCGGCTCTGCTGGCCTCTGAGATGTACCTTGGAGGCAGGCAGCACCCAGGCCTGCAGGAAGGTGAGGCCCAGCTACCTAGGCCCTGTGGAGGCTGCAGAGGTGGCAGAGAGGCCTCCTGGCAAGAAGAGACTTGCAAGTCCCCACCCAACTCCTGCGGCCTTGGCTCCCACCGCCTCCTCGAGGCCTGGCCATCCCCCACCCTGTGAACACCCCACCACCACCACCCCTGGCCTGACTCCTCGGCCTGACGCATCTAATATGCACAGCTTCCGGCCATCTTACAAACCTAGCCCTGCTCCTCCTCCTCCCCCACTGGTGTGGGCACCTCCTTAATGTGCAAAATAGTAGAATAGTAGATTTTTTTCCATTGTCCTAAATGTGAAATGTTGGATAATGAGATAGTTGATAAGTGAGGAGTAGGTATATTGGTCTCCTCCCGTCTGGAGCAAAAGCAAGTGAAGGAAACCAAAGACTCAAGGAAGAAATTAGTCCACAGGACTAATGACCCACACGAACCACAGCCTATTCTAGCCTGGGACCAGAAGAACTAGATGGTGCCTGGCTACCACCACCACCATTCTGACCAGGGACACAATAGAAGGTCTAGTTAGAATGGGATAAAATTGTGGAACAAAACTCAAATTCCTAAAAAAGACCAGACTTACTGGACGGATAGAGACTAGAGGAACCCCTAAGATTATCACCCTAAGACACCCTTTTAACATGGAACTGAAGCCACTCCCTGAGGGCACCTTTCAGGCTAATAATGGATTGGCCTATAAAATAAGCAATAACACCCATGAAGAATGTGCTCCTTCAAACAATCAACTATATGAGACCAAATTGTCAACATTCACCCAAAAGAAAAGATGAGAAGGCAAGGAGGGGCAGGGAAACTGGATGGAAACGGAGCAGGTGGGGTGGAAATGAGGAGGGTGTTGACAAATTGCAGGGATTGTACCCAATGTCATGGAACAATTTGTGTATGAATTGTTGAACGGGAATCTAATTTGCTGTGTAAAGTTTCACCTAAAACACAATAGAATATTCAAAAAAAGAGGGAGAGGGCAAGATTCAATCAATTATTTTAAGATTAGCCAATGGTTGATCTATCGTTCTCCTCCTCATCTCTTTATAAGCCCCATTGTACCTAGTTTCTTAAAGCCATTTGCTTTTTCCGGAATCAAAATGGTCTCCCTATATGCATATAGAATAACTACTCAGAATAAATCTTATGCTCAAATTTCAGTGAATTTTGATTATTTTTAACACAAGTACACAAATCTGCAATAATATACATTAGAAAAGTGATTCTTGAAAACAAAGGAAGTCACAGTTAATAAGATATAGCATACATTTGAAAGGAGATCCAGATACGCATTTGAAATGGATTCATTTGCAACTTCAGAGTTTTTAACTTTTAGAATAGTGACCTAAAGTTTCTTTCTTTTTTTTTAATTATGGGGGAAGGGAATGATGATTTCCCTCATGATTGTAGGCAAGCAGAATTCTACAAGGGACATTCATTCACCTGTTTAGGCAGTGATACCCAAGATTTCTCTAGAACAAAGGTGAAATTTCATGTAAACTACAATCACATGGGAAAGGAAAAAGTAAAACTGTCCATTCACAGATAACATAGGCTTGTATATAAAAAATCTGACGGTAAACACACACACACACACACCTCGATTAGAGCTATTAAACAATTCTTCAAGGTTGCAGAATACAAGATCCTTACATAAAAATCGACTGTATTTCTATACACTGAACAATCCAAAAATGAAACTGAGAAAACAACTCCATTCATAATGGTAAAAAAGAATGGAATACTTAGGAATAATTTTTTTAAAAAAAGAAGTGCAAGAATTGTACACTGAAAATGAAAAAATCTTTGAAAGAAATTAAAGAGGACCCAAATAAATGGAAAGACATTCCATGTTCTTGGATTGGAAGGATTAGTATTAACATAGCAATGCTCCCCTAATTGATTTATAGGTTAAATGCAATACCTAAAAAAATCCCAGCTGCCCTCTTTGTAGCAATTGACAAGCTGATCCTCAAATTCATATGGAAATGCAAGAAACATAGAATAGCCGAAACAATCTCGAAAACAAAGAACAAAGTTGGAGCACTCACACATCCCAATTTCAAAACTTACTAACGACAAAGCTATAATATTCGCGACAATGTGGGACTGGCATAAGGATAGACATATAGATCAATGAAAGAGAATTGGAATTCAGAAATAAACCCTTATAATGAATTTTTGACAAGGGTGCCAAGACAATTCTATGGGGAAAGAATAGTCTTTTCAACAAATGGCATTGGGACAACTGGATATCAAGGTGCAAAAGAAAGAAATTGGACCCCCTACCTCACATCTCATACAAAAATTAACTAAAAATGGATCAGAGTCCTAAATATAAGAACTAGAGCTATAAAACTCTTAGAGGAAAATACAGGGGTAAATCTTCATGACCTTGGGTTAGATAATGGTTTCTTAGATATGACACCAAAAGCACAAGCAATTAAAAACAAAACAAACAAAAAAAAGAGTAAAGTAATAGATAAATTGGACTGCATCAAAATTAAAAACTTTCATGCTTCAAAGATCACCATCAAGAAAGTGAAAAGACAACCCACAAAATGGGAGAAAATATTTGCAAACAACATATCTGATAAGACTAGTATTCAGAATATATTTTTTAAAAAAAGCTCGTAACTCAATAATAAAAAGACAACCCAATTAAAAATTGACAAAGGATTTGAATAGACATTTCTCCAAAGATACACACATGGCCAATAAACAAATGAAAATGTGTTCTACATCACTAGTTATTAGGGAAACACAAAACAAAACTACAATGAGATGCCACTTCACACCAACTAAGATAGTTAAAGTAAAAAAGATGGACAATAACAGCTTTGGCGAGGATGTGGAGAAATTGGAATCCTCATCCATTGCTGGTGGGAATGTAAAATGGCACAGCCACTTTACAAGAGAGCTCGGTGGCTCCTCAAAATGTTAACCGTTGAGTTATTGTATGGCCCAGCAATTCCGCTCCTAGGTATACACCCAAGAAAATTAAAAACATGTCCACACAAAAACGTTTATACAAATGTTCGTAAAAACATAATAGCCAAAAAGTGGCAACACTTTTTCAATCTACCACACATATGTCTCCTTTTGCCTGTAACACTTCCTAGTTTATGCCTGTTGTTCTGGAGTAAATGCTAATATTGCCTATATCACTTTCAAAAGAGATTCATTTTAATTGATAATTATATGGTCTTATGTAATGGACACTGGACTAGAGACAGAACTTCCTTGTTATCCATGACTAACTGATACAGGTGAAGAAAAACAGAGCCACTTTTAGTGAATCCACTTAAAATTGGGACCAAAGATATGATAGTAAATAATGAAGGAAAAACAAAAAAAAGACTTGTAATGTTTTGGAAAATATTTATATTTTATCTAATATGAGGTTATAATTGTGCTTAGTCTTACAACAAAAAAATGAACCAAATGTTGATTGAAAGGGAAAAATTATTGTCTGCTAAAATATATGAGTTATTTGTAATAGCAAAACCTGGGAAACAACTTCAATGTACTTCAGCTGGAGAATGGATAAATAAATTGTGATATGGCTACATAGACTAATATACAACAGTGAATTAATGAATTGGAACACACGACTAATCTCCCAAGCTATACTGAGTGAAAAACCACGTTGCAAAAGAATACATAAGCAATAATATTTGTGTTGTTAAAAAATTATCAAAAACTTGGAAATAAGAGAAAAGAATGACTACATGTCCTTTCAACAGCATGCTAAAGCATTGTCTAAGAGGTCCACCCAAGGATGACTTAATTCTCTAGGAGAAAGATCATTTGCTGGATTTATTATTTAGTGTTGATTAGGGCCAGACTCTGAATTTGGATGTAAATTATAGATAGAAAAGTTGCAAAAGATTTTTGTCCAGTAGGATGCAGATTATTTGGGTCTGGTAGAAAAAATAACTGCAAAAGTTAGTTTTATTGCCCTTTAGTATATTAACTATTTTTGTATCTAATTTTTCAATCTTAGTTCAGCATTCTGTCTATCCTTGACTATAAATCAGTCTCTTCTATACTGCTTTAACACCCTGCTGGTTCCCTTATTAATAAGTTTAATTAATTTTTGACACATGCTCATTTTATATTTGTATGAGAGTCATGTAGTTTAAGTTCAAAAAACTATACTTTGACATTATAAAGATTAAAAACATGTAAGACATTGCTATGTATGGTATACATATGTACGTATGTGTGTATATATGTGTGTGTGTGTGTGTGCGTGTGTAT